TAAAACACAAACTAGTACTCAAACACTAACCGGTACTCAAAAACACAAACCGGTACTCTAAAACACAAACCGGCACTCTAAAACACTAACCGGTACTCTAAAACACTAACCAGTACTCTAAAACACAAACTAGTACTCTAAAACACAAACTAGTACTCAAACACTAACTAGTACTCTAAAACACAAACTAGTACTCTAAAACACAAACCGGCACTCTAAAATACTAACCAGTTCTCTAAAACACAAATTAGTACTCAAACACTATCCAGTACTCTAAAATACTAACCAGTACTCTAAAACACAAACTAGTACTCAAACACAAACCGGCACTCTAAAACACAAACCGGCACTCTAAAACACAAACCGGCACTCTAAAACACTAACCAGTACTCTAAAACTCAAACTAGTACTCTAAAACACAAACTAGTACTCAAGCACTAACCAGTACTCTAAAACACAAACTAGTACTCTAAAACACAAACTAGTACTCAAACACTAACCAGCACTCTAAAACACAAACAGCCACATGAATGTCAAAATTTTCAGGGTTTTTTACCTTTAGATGAATAAAATTCTACTTTTCAGTTTGGTTTAGGGAAATAAAACTTTACTGCAGGCCGTAGCAGACACACCACCTTAGAGACACTTTCAGGATGAACTTAGAAAGATAATCAGAAATGTTAACGCTGCAGCCAGTGGAGCATTGGGGTCACCATGAAAATCACCTTTAGGGTTACCATGGAGAGCGACATTAACTTGCAGTCACCATGGTTGCCAGACTTGTGTGTTTTATGTAGGAGATGTGACTTGTCACAATCAGACTTCCATGGCAGAGAAAATAACTCCACTGCAATCAGTGACTCCGCCCCCTACAGCTGCTGATGCGGTGTTTTTGGCCTAAAACACCTTTAAACCTTTTCTGAGGACATTTTTCATTCAAAGCAAACCTTTTTTTCCTCTTAGCAAAAGTTTCAAAGTGCTTCAGAAGATCCTGGAGAACTTCTGATGAAGGACAAATGAAAAATCCATCCATCAGTTGTTATTTCCAGTAGATCACCAGTAAAGCTGCTCTGTGACCACAGAAACCATCAAACACGTCTCCAGTCTGTCTGATCCGTCTGCTTTTAACGTCCCGCCCATTCATCTCTTCTCTCTGTTCTCGTCTTTCAGCAGCTCTTTATCTGCTCGATCTGTTTGTTCTCCGCCGCACATTTCCCTGGTTTGTTCTCATCAGGAGCGCAGTGAGGTGGAAGAGGAGGGAAAGATCCAGAAACATGGGGAGGAACGGGAACGACAAAGGTAACGGGGGCAGGAGAGAGCGAAGGATTCAGTTAGGGTGAAAATGCCGTTTCATCCAACCATGACTACAGAAAACGAGCAGGACGAAGAGCTTTCTCCTGAGCAGGACGCGTGACATCAGGAGGAGCCTGAAACACGAGTTCTTGTCCCCTTAAAGGGAATTAGTGAAAGAAGGACCCAACAGAACAAAGATCAGCTCCGACTCAGCTGACTGGAACATCACAACAACTGACTTGATTTTCCGTTTAGCCAGAATCTGGTCCTCTCAGATCTTTTTTTGTAATAGTTGAGTTTTGTGATGGTGACCTGTAGCACATTGTTGAGGTTTTTGGTGCTTTTTTCGCTGCAGCAACACCAGACCAATAAAGTTTTATTAACTCTTCTTCAGTGAAACTGGTTTTGGCGGGAAAACAATGCTGCAGCAGCACATTAATACATGACTCAGACCCGTCTGAGACCCGGTAAAAGTCTCGGTATTTAACGTTTACATCGTTACTAACTAAAACACGGTAGAGCTGTTCTAGAACTAAACTAACGAGTCCTGACTAAAACGAAAGAAAAACAGGACATGATTTAGTTTCACCACAGATAAAAACAACAACATCTAAACTGATCCTCATGAAGCTCTTTCGGTAAAAGAAATTATTTTAAACACAAAGTCTAAATTCTTAAGAACCTTTGGCAGAAAATCAAAAACACAGAAAAAACAAAAATGGAGCTTAGAGACGAGCCTCGGCTCATCTGAGCATCGTCTCTGGACCACGGGTCTCTGATCAGAACCCGACACCACCTTAAAGACCCTCCTACAGAACCGGAGCGTCGAGTTGAACCACACTCGGGTAAAGACCAGACTCCAGTATAAAAACAAACTCGGGTATAAAAACAGACTCGGGTAATGACCAGACATTCATAAAGACCAGACTCGGCTATTAAAACAGACTTGTATAAAGACCAGACTCGGCTATTAAAACAGACTTGTATAAAGACCAGACTCGGGTATTAAAACAAACTCGGGTATAAAAACAGACATTCATAAAGACCAGACTCGGCTAATAAAAAAAGACTTGTATAAAGACCAGACTCGGCTATTAAAAAAGACTTGCATAAAGACCAGACTCGGCTATTAAAAAAGACTTGTATAAAGACCAGACTCGGGTATTAAAACAAACTCGGGTATAAAAACAGACATTCATAAAGACCAGACTCGGCTAATAAAAAAAGACTTGTATAAAGACCAGACTCGGCTATTAAAAAAGACTTGCATAAAGACCAGACTCGGCTATTAAAAAAGACTTGCATAAAGACCAGACTTGTATAAAGACCAGACTTGTATAAAGACCAGACTTGTATAAAGACCAGACTTGTATAAAGACCAGACTTGTATAAAGACCAGACTTGTATAAAGACCAGACTTGTATAAAGACCAGACTTGTATAAAGACCAGACTTGTATAAAGACCAGACTTGCATAAAGACCAGACTTGTATAAAGACCAGACTTGCATAAAGACCAGACTTGCATAAAGACCAGACTTGTATAAAGACCAGACTTGTATAAAGACCAGACTTGCATAAAGACCAGACTTGCATAAAGACCAGACTTGAATAAAGACCAGACTTGAATAAAGACCAGACTTGTATAAAGACCAGACTTGAATAAAGACCAGACTTGAATAAAGACCAGACTTGAATAAAGACCAGACTTGTATAAAGACCAGACTTGTATAAAGACCAGACTTGTATAAAGACCAGACTTGTATAAAGACCAGACTTGAATAAAGACCAGACTTGAATAAAGACCAGACTTGAATAAAGACCAGACTTGAATAAAGACCAGACTTGAATAAAGACCAGACTTGCATAAAGACCAGACTTGCATAAAGACCAGACTTGTATAAACACCAGACTTGTATAAAGACCAGACTTGTATAAAGACCAGACTTGCATAAAGACCAGACTTGTATAAACACCAGACTTGAATAAAGACCAGACTTGTATAAAGACCAGACTTGTATAAACACCAGACTTGAATAAAGACCAGACTTGTATAAAGACCAGACTTGCATAAAGACCAGACTTGTATAAAGACCAGACTTGAATAAAGACCAGACTTGTATAAACACCAGACTTGAATAAAGACCAGACTTGTATAAACACCAGACTTGTATAAAGACCAGACTTGCATAAAGACCAGACTTGCATAAAGACCAGACTTGCATAAAGACCAGACTTGCATAAAGACCAGACTTGCATAAAGACCAGACTTGCATAAAGACCAGACTTGCATAAAGACCAGACTTGCATAAAGACCAGACTTGTATAAAGACCAGACTTGAATAAAGACCAGACTTGTATAAAGACCAGACTTGTATAAAGACCAGACTTGTATAAAGACCAGACTTGCATAAACACCAGACTTGTATAAAGACCAGACTTGTATAAAGACCAGACTTGTATAAAGACCAGACTTGTATAAAGACCAGACTTGCATAAAGACCAGACTTGCATAAAGACCAGACTTGCATAAAGACCAGACTTGTATAAAGACCAGACTTGCATAAAGACCAGACTTGCATAAAGACCAGACTTGCATAAAGACCAGACTTGCATAAAGACCAGACTTGCATAAAGACCAGACTTGTATAAAGACCAGACTTGTATAAAGACCAGACTTGTATAAAGACCAGACTTGAATAAAGACCAGACTTGTATAAAGACCAGACTTGAATAAAGACCAGACTTGTATAAACACCAGACTTGTATAAAGACCAGACTTGTATAAAGACCAGACTCGGGTAACGACTAGACTCCTGGGAGACCCCAGGTACCGGAGTCCGTAGATTAACTGCAGTACGACCAGGTCAGTCCAGAGTCATCTCCAGGTAACGGCAGTTGGAACTAGTTTGCGTCTCAGGAATAACTCTTAAGGAGTTGAACAAATCAGCTTGTTGTGCAGGAACTGTTGTTGCATCAGCTTCGCAGGTGCAAAAAGGGTTTGACGACGTGTCAAAAGCTTTGGTGGGTAAAGAGGTCTTGCTTCAGCTGGCCGGCCTGAAGCGTCTCTAGAACTGAGGGAAAACTTGAATAATCTGGTTTTAATGTTCTCATGTTATGATTGTGTAGCCAACCAGAGGTTGACAAGTGTGAGGGGTATAACCAGGCAGACTGATTTAAAGGGAACACGTGCGGTCTCGTGTCTCCTTTTTGACCAGATGTTGATGGTCAAACAGTACCTAAAACCTGTCCTTTGCTGGACGTTACACCTGGCTTACGCACATGTTGGACATGGAGAGCACCTGCAGCGCTGCTGCTACTTGTACCGCTTCGTTTTCACACACCTTGATCTGCCTCGATCTACGGTCGCCATGTCATTGGCGGAGCGCTGCAACAGCCGGCTTATGTATCTGCATGAGATCCACAAGGATATTAGCATTGACCATTTATGGCAGTAAGTGGGCGTGGTGAGGGCGGGATGTGACTAAAAAGCAGCTGAGAAACATTCTCGTTAGTCTCTGATTTATGAAGCGGAGGTTGCGTGCAGCTGTGCGTCCTCCATGTTTGATAGATCACACACCTGCTTGGCGTAAGAACTTTTTTTGCTGAGCTTACGTACGGTTTTAGTAAGGATTCTTCGCCATGTTTGATAAATGAGACCCCTGACTTGTATAAAGACCAGACTCGGGTAACGACCAGCACGTCCTACCTTGAACTCCTGAAGCTGATGTTTAATCGTCTCCACCTCTGAGCCAACCACACCCTGAGCGGTCAGCCCCTCCTCCGCTCGTCCCAGCAGGCCTTGCAGCTGCGCCACCAGCCGGTAGAAGTCCTCAACCCTCTCAGCAGCATCCTGGATCTGACCCAGCCGGGCATGGCCGCGGTCGCTCAGCTGAGAAGCAACAGGACCACAAATAAACAGACAGAAGGGACGTAAAGACACGTCTGGTCTGCTTCTGCTCACCTTTCCCGCCTGGCGGCTCAGCGCCTCCGTCTCCCTTCGGAGCGCCAGCAGGTCGGGGGAGGAGCCTTCTCGCCTCAGCATGGTGCTGCACTCCAACGCGTGGCCATCCAGCTCCGTCCTGAGGTCCACCAGGCGGGACAGGAAGCTTTTCACGGCATCAGACTGGGAGGCCAGGGAGTCGGCATCGCGTCCGACGGGACTGAGCGAGTCCAGTTCATCGTCCAGGTCGGTGAGACGAGAGAAGACGTCCCTAACGTGGGACTGGACCTCACCCACACCCTGGAGACGCGACTCCAGGGAGGAGCAGCACTGCTCGATCTGACAAAGAGATGAAATCACTTCATGTTTCACTTTTTAAACATTAAATCGGAGTTTCTGGATTCAAAAACATTTAAAACATTCAAGTGAAATTTGATTTTCGAGCTCAGATCTTCACTTTGATGAAAAATCACCACAAAACTTATCACAACTCGAGTCACAGCCGCGAGTTTTTAACAGGAATTATAAATGAAAGAATTAACGCAACAAACATTTCCACTCAAGTGCAAAGAAGCCTCGGAAGGATGGTTTACTGAGCATTAGCCCGGAGCAGAGGAAACAGGAGCGTCTCTGGTTTACATTTCAGACTCCGATGGAGCGTCGAGCGTCTGCGATGACCTTATAAGGCCAGAGGAAGTCAAACGGCGAGACTGACTGACACGAGCCCTCGTCTCCTCTGCTCCAGAGATGATAAACGATGTCATAACTGATGTCATCATGACTGATGCAGCTGCTGCATCCTGCTCCTCTGCTGAATCCGTTCTCCTTCCGGTTTTAGACATGAAACTGGAATAAAGACCGACCGAGTTCCCGCTGAAGGTCTCGTTAAAGAGTGAATATCCAGCTGGGATCAACACAAACGACTCTTCACTGAGAGGGTCTCATCAGCCGTCACAACGGGAATTCTAAGTGTTTGTTGCGTCTCACTTTGGTCTCCAGCTGTTCCCAAAGTTGTCCCACATTCCTGACTCACTAAACACAGAAGAGCTCCAGACCAGCGGGACTCAGAGGAAACTTAAAAGTTGTTCCAAATTCCGGTGACTCGAGGATGAGGCCCTGAGCATTTGGTCGCAAACGTTTCGAGACACTTTAAAAACTCCTTCCTGTTTGCCTCTCACGCTTCTGAAGTTTTCCCATCATCGGGAAGAGGTGAACAACCTGGAATGTGAATCCGTGACCTCCTCTGCTCACCTTATCAGTGACATCATCGTATCCTCTCTGGGTTTCTCTGGCCTGGTCCTGAAGACTCTGTGCCCCCTCAGTGCTGCCCCCTGGTGTCTGGGGGGCGTCCTGAACCAGCCCCTGGGCCAGGTCGCGGAGGTAGACCACCTGGGGCTGCAGCGACCTCAGACTCTCCTGCTGACTCCTTAACCTCTCCAAGCTTTTGGCGCTGCACGCCTGATGGGAGACAGAAGCCAACATTTGCTGATGAGTTTGGATTTTTGGGATTACTTTGGGTTTATGAGCATTTTGATGTTAACCTGAGGTCCCAGAGCCTCCTGGACTTCTATCTGATGCTTGGCAGCCTCCAGCCTCCGCTCCACAGCCCGCCTGCCCTCCTCAAACTCCTTCAGGCGGCTGGCCAGCTCCTCCAGCTGGGAGGTCCGGTTCAGCAGCCTCCCACTCAGCCCATCCACCCGTCGGTTCAGCTGGGCCTTCTCGTCTCGTAGCTGAAACAAACACAGAAGGATCAGCTGAAACCGGTTCTGGTAGTGAACGGAGCAGCTGATCTGTCGGAGCGTACCTCCTCCTCCCCGACGGAGCACTGCTCCAGCAGCTGGTCGGCTGCCGTGTTGAACGCCTCCAACAGCGGCTGGCGCCTCTCCAGGTCCATGGACAGAACCCGGGCCTTCTGCAAGGCCTCGTCCAGAACAGTTGAGTCCAGAGACGGACGAATCCCTGCATCCTTCTCCTCGGACTCTGCTAGCCACGGGATCAGCTCAGCCTTGTGGTGCTGGTACGTTTCTGCTTTGTTCAGACAGTTCTTCAGTCGGGCTTCCCGCTCCGAGATCCGGTGGTTTAACCCGTCCCAGTCCTGTCTCAGGGAGGCCAGACGGGACTGCAGAGCGGACCGTTCGTCTGCCGGGAGAGATGCGAGGAGAGACACCCCCTCGGCCTGGATCAGCTCGTAGGAACCGCGCTGGCTGGCTATCTCACGCTGCCGCTCCTCGGTCTGGGCCAGCAGGGCCCGGATCGCGTCGGACCAACAGGGCAGAGAGTCCGAGGACGGTTCCTTCGGGTCGGACTGCTGATCGAGCCAAGAGCGCAGCTCCTCAAACATCTGCTGGAACTGTTGAGTGGAGGAGAGGGCAGCCTGGAGCTGGGAGAGGCTGTCGGCTGGAGGAGAGAAAAACGTGGATTAACGGATTCATCCGGACCAGAGTTTAAACGTGGACTTTACATCCTGATGAGCCCTGACCTGCTCGCTCTTCCAGACTCCGGAGTGGAGCGCTGACGCTCTCCAGACGTTTACTGAGCTCTTCCTTCAGGTACGGCTCGGCCACGATGGCGCTCAGCTCCTGGCAGAGCTTCTCAGCCTCGGAAAGTTGGGACCGTCGTCGCTCCAGCTCCGAGCGGATCTCTCCGGTCTCCTGCAGTTGACACTTAAGCGCTTCAGGCTGCCCGCTCAGAGAGGCCCGAGCGTCCAGCTGCTCGCCCAGAGCAGAGACACTGGAGGACAGATCTTGGAGCAGAGCCTGAGGACAGGAGGAGGATGTTACACGTGAAGGCTGCAGCCGGAGGAGAAGTGTGAGAATTCCCGGTTCTTACCTGGTACCGCTCGCTGGTTCCCTGAGCCTGATCGATGTGGCTCGACCTCTGCGTCAGCCTGCTAGTGAGGTCCTCCCACTGCTGGGAGATGGAGCCCAGCTCAGCCCGGACCTCCTCGAGGTCCTTGGGGTCCTGAGGGGAGTCACCGGTCTGGGAGAGGATTCCTTGAGCCGACTGGGTCAGCTGGTCAAACTGGGGCCGCCGTGTCTCAAACTCACGCAGCATGAACTGAAACAACAAGGAGGTTAAGCTCCTGTAAAGGTCAAAGGTCAGAGCTGCAGGCCTGGCCTCCTCCTACCTGAACCTGCTGCTTCTGCGTGTTCAGCATGTTTGGGTCGATGCTCAGAGGTCCCAGGACGCTCATCATCAGCTCCTTCTCCCGCAGCCACGGAGCCAGCTGATTGGCCGCCGAGGCGAAGCTGCCAAGTCGGTCGGCACACGCTTCCAGCTCGGTCTGCCTCTGAGCAGCCGTCTGATTGGCTGAGAGCCAGCGGGAGTCTGAGGGAAGCACGAGAGGGAACGCTGCAGGTTTAATCAGGAACTCGGAGAATCCAGTCGTTTTTTTTATAATCAGTAAAGAAGGTTTTATAAAACATGAATTTTTCTACAGTTCAGATAAAAATATCATTAATGTGAGAAAATTAACGGTTAGATCTCAGTTCCCCTAACCCAGAGATCCTTCAGACGTCGTAGAAAAGCCTGACAGACGCTTTGCTGGGAAAACACTAGCAGATAAAATCTGGTTTTATAAACATTATGTAATAAAGACCGAGTTTCCTGTTGTCGGACGGTCTGTGAACGCACCGATGTCCTGCAGCTGCTGCCTCCAGGTCTCGGTCTCAGGAGAATCGGGATGGTCGGCGATCAGCTTCCTTAATGAACTCTTCAGGTCCTCGACTTTCCCAGAATGCTCGGCCAGCTCCGACAGCAGAGCCTAGAGGAGGAAATGTTCACTCTGCGTTAAAACGCGTTCTGCACCACGGCGGGGGGGGGGGGGAGGTACCGGACTCCCTTCCGACCTTGTTCTGCTGGGCCTGAGCGCGGACCGCCTCGGGTTTGGACGGCGACGCCGCCTGGCTCCGTTTCAGGCTTTGCTCCCGGCCGCTCAGCCAGCTCTTCAGCTCCTCGGCGTCCCGTCTGGCCTTGAGTCTCAGCTCCAGAGACGCCTGCTGGCGGCTGAGACGCTCCTTCAGGTCTCCGCCCAGATGGTCGTAGCGGGCGTTTACATCCGACACCGACACCTGCAGCTCCGTCAGGTCTGGGAGGAAACACACGGATCAGAGCTCGGACACACCCGGCTAAAGGAGGAGCCTGAAACCCAACCCTGCGTCTGCAGCCAGAGCTCACCTTTACAGGTGTGAACCCCGTTCAGACTGCTGGGACCTGCTGACCCGTTGACCTGAGGGACACCTGAGAGACGAGCACAGTTAGATACCTAAACACTCCTGGATTCAGAGTTTCAGGTGGAAAACTGTCATCTTCACCGGTTTTGGTCTGAGGGGCTGTGACATCGATGATGAGCGACTCCAGCTCAGAACCGGTTCTGTTCAGCTCCTGAACTCTGGATCCCTGAGCGGTCCAGTCGGCCAGCAGCTCCTGAGGTCAGACACGTTTAAACGTCTCCTCACCAAATACAATAAAACCGCTCATGAATGAAAACCGTTCCCACTGGCTGCTTTCCTGAGCTCGCTCACCTGCAGCTGCCGGACTCGCCTCTGCAGGCCTTCGGTGTCCAGGTTGGACTCTTTGGACGTCAGCTGGTCCTGGGCCGTCTGAAGCCAGCGGACGATGGATGCGGAGAGGCCGCGGAAGTCCAGGAGCTGCTGCTCGCAAGCCTGGGCGGCAGAAAACCTGAGACCCGACGAGAGAGGAGTCGTCAGGAGGAACGAAGACAGAGCAGCAGCTGTGGGCGGTGCGGTCGGCGCTTTGTTTGGGCGACGTTCCCAAATGCAAACCAGGAAAATCCTCCTTCCAAACTTTTCCCCAAAGACTTTTTTTTACACTCACTAAGTCAGTAAAAGGAAAAATCTCACCGATAAAAACGTGTTTCTGATGGAGAATCAGAACCGAAACACGAAGATCGTCTTTGGCCCCGAAACCTGCAGGAGTGTGTGTGTGTGTGTGTGAGTGTGCGTGTGTGTGTGTGTGTGTGTGTGTGTGTGTGCGTGTGTGTGTGTGTGTGTGTGTGTGTGTGCGTGTGTGCGTGTGTGAGAGATGGTGTGTGTGCGTGTGTCTGTGTGTGTGTGAGAGAGAGAGAGATGGTGTGTGTGTGTGTGTGTGTGTGTGTGTGTGTGTGTGTGTGCGTGTGTGTGTGTGTGTGTGTGTGTGAGAGAGAGAGAGAGAGAGACGGAGTGTGTGTGTGTGTGTGAGAGATGGTGTGTGTGCGTGTGTCTGTGTGTGTGTGAGAGAGAGAGAGATGGTGTGTGTGTGTGTGTGAGAGATGGTGTGTGTGCGTGTGTCTGTGTGTGTGTGAGAGAGAGAGAGATGGTGTGTGTGTGTGTGTGTGTGAGAGATGGTGTGTGTGCGTGTGTCTGTGTGTGTGTGTGTGTGTGTGTGTATGTGTGTGTATGTGAAACCACGAGGCTGACTGCAGATAAAACGGTCCTGTGCTGCCGGTTCGACTCCCGGAGGTTCCGTTATCCGAGACGACGTTCTAAAGGACGAACAAAGCGCCGCTGAAGTCGTCCGTCGGCACGGCGAACACAAACGGAATCATCGGAGTGTTCTAGTGGTTTCATCACCTATAAAGACTCGTCCCCTTCTCCCACGGAGGGAGTCAAACTGGGTTGCCATGGCAACCACAGCTTCTAGAAGGTCTTAGCAAGGTTCACATGTTAGAGCAACACAGGAAAGACCTGACGTGCACGTGGCGCCTCCGTGTACAGGTCCGTGTCGCTGGATGAGGTCATCAGGAAACACCTGAGTTTAGTTTAACGAGTCAGAAAAGGGGAGGACCTGTAGGAGGACCTGTGGGAGGACCTGTGGGAGGACCTGTAGGAGGACCTGTAGGAGGACCTGTAGGAGGACCTGTGGGAGGACCTGTGGGAGGACCTGTGGGAGGACCTGTAGGAGGACCTGTGGGAGGACCTGTAGGAGGACCTGTAGGAGGACCTGTGGGAGGACCTGTAGGAGGACCTGTGGGAGGACCTGTAGGAGGACCTGTAGGAGGACCTGTGGGAGGACCTGTGGGAGGACCTGTAGGAGGACCTGTGGGAGGACCTGTGGGAGGACCTGTGGGAGGACCGGCGGGAGGACCGGCGGGACTAAACCGCGATGGAAACCAGGAGAAACTGGTTCCCGTCTCCGCGTCCCGGTGACTGGGACTTCTTACCTGTCGTTGATGTTTTCCTGCAGCCTGGTGAACTCGTCCGTCACCCCCCTGACCTTGTCCAGCACACTCTGAGTGTTACGGAAAGCTTTGGACTGGCTGAGCTCGGTACCGAGGCTGCAGAACCCCTTCAGCTGACCCACTTCCTGCTCCAACTCCGATTTCACCTCCTAAAAAACCCACAGAAGGTCACAGTCGGGTCGCTGCTGAGGAGCTCCGTGTGTTTACGGGCTAGGGCTAACCTCGATGGTCTGCCGGTAGTCGCCCACGCTGCGGTCCGGTTGTCCCGCCGGGCTCAGAACCTTCATCCGGGTCTGGGTGAAGACCTGCAGGTCGGTCCCGAGCCTCTCGTAGCTCTCCAGGTGGGGCAGCAGCGCTCTGAGCTCGGCCTCCTGCTCTGCCTGGCGGGTCAGCGCTGCAGCGTAGCGCCGGGTCAGCTCCTCCGAACCGCTCTGGAGGCCCGGCGCCGTGGACGAGTCGGAGCTCAGGAGGAGTTTGGAAACAGAGTCCCGAGTGGCCTCCACGCTGCCCTGCCGGGACAGCAGCTCCTGTCGGAGTTTCTGCACCAAGAGAAGGAAGCAGATGAATTCAGGGTTCTGGTGGGTCCGGTTGGGCCTCGGCGCTCCTCTGGACTCACCTGGTTCTGGGTCAGAGCGTCCTGTACAGCCTGAGCTGTGGGCTCTACTGGACTGGGGTCTAGGGCCAGCTGGTCCAGCCAGCTGAGCAGGCCCTTCAGGCTCTCCTGGACGCTGACGGACTGGGCCATGGCGGTCTGCAGCTGCTCGGCCCGCTCCGACACCGACGCAGAGAGGCTCCCGAACCTCTTCTCCAAACCGTCTAGGAAAACGGAACCGGAAGTCAGAACACCTCATTTCTAGAGCTGTGTCATAAACCTGGAAGCAGACTGGGTGGAACGGAGTCACCTGCAGCACAGAGGATGTCCACAGCTTTCAGAGACGGGGCCTCGTCGGTGCTGACCAGAACCCGGCCAGCTCTCTGGACCTTCTCCAGCTGCACCGAGCGCTCCGCCAGCTCGTCCTGAAGAAGCTGCAGGGAAGAGAACTCATCACGTTCCTTCCGACGCTCCGCTGCGGATTTCTGCCTTTTTATGAACTCACCTGGACTTGTCTCAGAGCGCTCTGGAGGTTCTGCGGGTCGGTGTCGCCGCTGGACGTGGAGATGCTTTGGTTCTGTTCATGGTTGCTGAGCCAGGAGTGGAGGGAGATGACCTCATCCTGGTACTGCTGGTACCGCTCCAACAACCCGGACAAATGGCTGCCGAGCTCTGTGGACTGAACACGGAGGAGAGTTAGTGCTTCACCGGAACCAGAAACCCAAACGGGGCTGCGACCCGGTCCCGCTCACTCTGGTGTGTAGGGTCGTGTATCTGTGGCTGGAATCCTGCAGCTTCTCCGACACCAGCTGCCGGATGCTGTTCAGGGCCGCTTCGGATCCGCCAGCTTGCTCCAAAGCTGCCTGAACCGAGTCCAGAACCTTCTGACCGGAGATGGAGACGAAGCGCAGGTCGGCCTTGTGGCAGATGACTTCCTCACCGAGCTGCAGAGGAAAACCGTCACAGGATGAGTTTGGAAAAGCTGCCATCGGGAATGTCCGGGAAGTAAATGATCCCAAACCACGCAGAGTTTTCCCAGAAAGTGGTAGATGAAACGTTCCGTCTTCCATCGGGTCTTTACCTTTCTGTGCTCCTCCAGTCGGTCCTTCAGCCCGTGTGCGTCGGTTTCTCCTTCCCCCAGGGAACAAAGCTCCTGTTCACTCAGGTCCAGCCAGGAGCACAGATCTCCGTGTTCCTGGACGAATTTGGTCAGCTCATCCTTCAGAGCCTCGGATTTCCTGAGACGGTCCTGAAAACGGGAAGATCACCATCAACAATCCTCCTGAGGGAAGAAGTTCGGCACAAAACCAGGAACGTTTGGGAGCAGCGCTCCGCTTCCAGGATCAAAGAGTTCGTCATAAATATGAAAATCTTTTCTAACTTCTGCTTAATTTTGCTTTGAAATATTATTTTTAAAAGTATTTTAATGAAAACAAAAACGTTGTTTAAATTAAAGCAGATTTAAAAGCTAAAATGTTTATAAATAAACGTTTAAAAGGAAAAAGAATAAAATAAAAACGTGATTGGTCGATGGTTTCGGCTCGTGCGGGGAGAAGAACCGCCGGTACCTGGCAGCTCTGCAGCCGGTTCTGGTGCTGAGCCTGCAGCTGGTCCAGGGCAGCTCGGAGTCTCCGCTTCTCCTCAGGAGGAACCGTGGAGTCGGGCTGATCCAGGAGGGACCGGACCGACTGGGTCACCTGCAGCAGCGGAGCCTGCTGGGCCTGAAGCTGCTGCAGCTCCACCTGAAGGGTCAAAGGTCAGAGGTCAGAACCTGTGGAGCTGAATGAGGATAAACCAGAGGACAGACTCAAACCTGCAGCCTCTCTGTGTGAGACACCACAGCGCCCTCTGGTGGTGAAGGCTGCGCATCAGGAACGTCCAGAGCCGACCCGGTTCTGCCGGTCTGGTTCAGCTCCTTCAGCAGAGCGTCCATCCGGGTCTGGGTCTCCTGCAGGTCTTCTTCTGCTTTAGCCTGGGGGGGGGAACAGGAATAAAGTCCGACTCTGACGCGTGGATCTGCGGTTCTGAGGCCTGAGCGTCTCACCCTCTGGCTGTTCTGCTGGACCGTGGTGCTGATGGCCGAGTCCAGCGCCGACACCGACGTGTTTGCCGAGTCTGTCAGAGCGCTGTACTGCTCCTTCAGCCGGGTTAGCGCCTCCTGGAGGTCGGACCTCTCCTCTGGGCTCAGACTCTCTCCTCTCTCAGCCAGGAGCTCCTCCACCGAGCGCACGGCCTTGGCGACACCTTCAGCCCTGGCGCCGAGCTCCTTCTGAACCTCCTGGAGGCAAAACGTCATCATCGAAAACCCGAAACGTGCCGTTAATCTGTGCTTCACGCCTTACCTTCAACTTCCTCTGCTTCTCTTGCAGGACGCTGACGTCACCTGACTCCGCTCCGGCTCTCTGATTGGCCAGCAGGCTGGCGGCTCCAGCCAACCACAGGTTGAGACCTTCTAGTGTGTGAGAACACTCCGCTCTCTGCTGCTGGACCACCTGGGGGGCAGAAGGCAGCAGAGATGAGGAATCTGACAGGAGCTGAGGGTCCGGAACATGTTCATCACAAATGAAACTGGTGTGGTGCAGAACGGGCCAAGCTTTGAGCAGATTGTGTCCAGAAATCACACGTTCACTCCCACACAAACGTTCACACACACACCCCCCCCCCAGGTGAGACGGAAGAGCCGAAGGCAGCGCGTCGTTACCGCCGTGAGCAAGCGGCTTTCTCCGGTGGCGATCTGGAACGGCAAGCAAACACGTTAATAAAACACGTTTTACAGACATGCAGGCCAACAGGTTAGCAGAGAGGTGGCAGCAGGGAGCGACTGTTACAGGTTCTGGAGCGGATCGGACCGCCAGAGGGATCCCGGTTCTGTTCAGATGAACAGAAACGCTTCGAGTTGCACTTGGTAACGAAAACAGATTCGTTACGACTAAAGAATAATACGAATTTAAGGAAAGATCTAAAACTTCCAAAGGTGATTTTCTCCCGAGTGGTTCTGGCTCGGACCAGCTGTCCCCTGGTTCTCCCGATCCGGGATCCTGCTGCGGGTGAAACACTGACGGATCAGAACCGCTCCACAGAACCTCACCTGTAAGTAACTAAACTCTCCGGAGCTGAACGTGTTTTAGATCGGTTAGAAAACGGAGACGGGAGTTAAAAGCTGCAGGAATCATCTCGTCTCTTCCCAAACCTCTCTCTCCTTCTTGTCTTCCTTCAGCCTCTCCCTGATCTGTCGCTCATCCTCTCGGTTCTGCTGGGCAGACAGAACCTCGGCCCAGGCCTCGGCTTGGCCCCACGCTCGGTGGAAGGCCCCCTGCAGCTGCTGGAGCTGCCCCAGAAGCCGCCTGCTCTGATCCGGGCTCAGGTCCTGCGCCCGCTCGGAGATGAACAGCTGGATGTCAAAGATCAGGTCGTTGACCTCACTGGACCGGGTCGACAGGGAGGACTGGAGCTCCTGTGAGAGGAGAGACGAGTTCACCCCCGTTAGAATCACCTGGGAGCTGAACGGAGACGTTCCCGACTCCGACTCGACTCCGGCTCTCTGAAACAGCTTAAAAACGGTGAATTTCCCGCTTACCTTGCAGAGGTGTAGCTGCTGACTGATCTCATCCTGGTTCCTGTCTCCATCCTTTCTGTCCATCCTTCCTTCGGTCTCCTTCAGCCACAGCAGCAGCGTGTCCACGTTTCGTCCCAGAGACCTCTGCTGGGCCGTCACCGCCTCCTAAAGCAGACGGAGAAGGTGAGACTCGGCTGCAGAGCGGCTCGGCCGAGCGGCTCCGACGTCGTTACCTTGCACGAGGCTCGGCGGTCTCTCAGGCTGCGCAGGATTCCCTCGGAGAGAACGTTAGCCGCCTCGTACCCACGAGCCAAGCTCCGCCCATCTTTCTCCAGAGCCAATAGGAGCTGCAGAGGAATGTGGTCCGGTCTGGGATTCAACAGTCGCTCAGCAGCTTCTACCTCTTTCCTAATCTCAGGCTCCAAGTCCCTCAGCTCGAGGTCCAGAGTCTGGAAAAGCCGATGAGAGAGAGAAGTTTGACGGACGGTTCGACCAGCGCTGATCCCTAGAAGCGGCGTCGGGTATCTGACCTCAGTTTGAGAGATGATGTCGTCCAGCCCGACCAGACCGCGGCCCACCGCCTGCTGCTGCTGCCGCTTGAGTCTGACCTCCGCGTGTCTGATCATGGAGACCAGAGCTACGATCCTCTGGTCGTGCTCCAAACATTCCTGACGGAGCAGCGAAGACTTTGGGAGGAGAATCAAATCAGACGTGGAAAATGACAAAACCAAACCCAGTAATGAAATTCCCTTTTACCTTGCTCCCGGACGACGCTCCCGAGGCGGCTGAAGCTTCAGGACTCAGGCTCTCAGGTGAGACATCAGGATCAGCCTCTCTGGGGACTTCCGACGTTCCTGAAGCCAAGGTCATTATTTCTGGAGCGTCTGGAAGCTGCTGCAGGACTTTTGGAGATTCTGGACCCTCTGGACTCTCGGCTCCAGGTGGTGATTTTATCCGTTTACTTCTTTCAGGACCAGGAGCAACCACCTGGAGGTCCAGCCTGACTGAAACATCTCGGGATGACAGGGTGGAGCCGCCCGTGTTTGTGTGTGAACCTTCTGTCCCGGGTTTGGTTGGACTTTGAGTTTCAGCGGCTGGCTTCTCCTCTGAAGACCTCCCGATGGCGCCAGTTGTTCCGGAGCCGACGAGTTCTGGAGCTGCTGGAGCCGGTGTGATAGCAGACTCCACACCTGAGGGGGCTTCCTCAGCATCAGGACCTTCTCTGCCTGGAACCTTTGAAGACTTTTTGCTCTTCCTGCTTCTTTTACTTTGCTGAGCCTCTTTGGTCTGCGCTGATGCCTCCATGCCCTTCTTACCCTCTCTCACCTTCTCCGTCTCGTTTGAAGACGCTCCAGGCTCATCTTCTGCTCTTGTTGTCCGTCTCGTTCCAGCATCGCTGTCAGGACTTTGTGCCGTTTGATCTCCAGCAGGCGTGACTTTACTCTCCGTCTTCCTGACCTCCTTGCATCTCAGAGCCTCCAGCTCCTCAGCAGCCTGCTTCTCACTGACGTTTTTCTCAAACACCTTTTTAAGAATGCCCTCTTCGGCTTTCAGGACCAACGCTGCTCTCTCCTCTTCTCCAAGAGTGGTCCTTTTGAGCAGCTCCTGGTTCTTCTCTGGTTCCTGCTGCTCAGAGACCAGAACCACCTCCTCATCAACCTCCTCTGGGTCTTTCATCAACATCGTTTTAGCCTCGTCTTTCTCAACAACAGAAACCTCTTCCTGCTCCTGCTTCACTAAGTCCTGTCCAGCATCAGTCTGCTCTAAACTTCCTATCTGAGGAGTGTCAGGGAGAGCTGCTGGACTGTCAGACATCTGAGGACCTTTTGGTTCATCAGCGTCTTCGTCAGCAGCCTCCGAGGATCCTGCATCCTTTCTGGATGGATGCTTAACTTCTGGAAGATGCGTTTCCATCTCTTTACCTTTAGTCTTCTTTTTGCTCTTTCTTTTCTTTTTGGTTTTGTTTTCCGACTCTTGACTCGCCGAAGTCCCGACCTGATCGGACTGCCTGGCATCAGCCTGCATCTCTGGACGTTTCACATCCTCCTGTGGCCTTGAATCCTCTCCTCTCGTCTTCTCAGACACGGCCAGCAGCACGTTTCTGTCTCTCGTTTCTCTGTCCTCTCTAACTTTTGTCGTATGTACTTCTCCAGATGCTTGATGGTCACCTTCATCCTTCCTTTCTTCTATGACGTTGTCCTGAGCGTCTTCTTCTGAAGGACAGACCACCATCTGAGGAGTCTCTCCTCTGAAGATGTTCTCCTGGACCAGCCTCTGACCAGGTTCCTGTTTCAGAAGAACCTCTGATGTTTCAGCATCTTTCTGTAGTTTTATCTCTTCTATGGTTCGCTGGATTCTTCTCTCGACGTTGGAAGCAAATGTTAGGAGGATGTCCATGGACTGGTCCGGCTCAGGTGAAGCCTCCACTGGCTCTGGTCCTTCTGATGCTTCTTCTTCTGGAGTTTTGGTCAGAATCTGGTCTGGGACTACAGGTGTGAATCTCTGGTCGTCATCCCGAGTGACCTCGACAGATTTCATAGGAGGAGGACATCTGGAGGACGTCTCGGAGTCAGTACTATCTGGGCCTGACCCATCATCTGCCTCCAGCAGCTCTCTGAGACTCGAGACCCGCCGTTCGGAGGCGGGACCAACTAAACCACCTTTCATCAGCTGGTTTGAGGCGATTTCTGCCACCATATCGTCTCCAACCAAACCTCTGGTATGCGGGAGTCTTTCTCCGGTTCGGATATCGATGATCCCGCCGCTGTCCGCCTGGCTCTGGAGCAGCCTCAGAGCCGGAACCGGGTCGACTCGTTTCAATGCGACAGCCTCAGAAAGGGTCAAGTTCTCCCTGGTTTGATGATCCCAAACACCTTGGAACGGTTTCACCTCTAAGAAGCGTTTTCCCGTTTCGATGTCGATCCTGCCCTGGTTTACGAGCTCCGAATACGGAACGACGCGGGCAGTTTGGGGGTGGACTGCGCCTTTTGTGACGGCTGGAGACGACATGACTTCACGGGCTGTGTCCTGGTCTAGAAGACCCTTGGAAACCGCCTCGGCCAGGGTCAGCTTGACTCCGGTTTCAGGGTCCGAAACCGCTCCGGTTGATGCCTGGAACGCGATGGCTTCCGGGTTACTTGACGCACTGACTTTTCCTTGATAGACCCACTCTAGATCCTCAAGCCCGGGGGCGATGGAGCGGTCTGCTAGTCCTCGGTCAACAGCATCAGAGACCGACAGCCTCATTCCTGAAGCATGGTGTATGATCCCGCCTTCAGCTACCTGCTTGGCCAACACCTGATAAGCCTCCTGGGATGTTATTAACTCTTTCTTAAGAGCTTGTTCCAGAGGAACCGGAGACTTGGACTCTGGGTCAACAATGCCGTCCATCTGTAGCTGTAAACTGGCTTTCATCAGCTTTGTTGGAGAGTCTGCATCCTTTCCTTTGAAGGCCTTTTCCAGAGCCACCAGTTCCTCTCGTTGTTCCTTGTCTATCAATCCCAGGTTTGCTGCTAAGGTGACCGAGACCTTCTTATCCCTGCGAAGATCCACGACGCCTCCAGAGGCCACTTGAGCTTCTAGAAGTCGAGCAGCCGTGTTGGAATCAATCAGCCCCACCTGAGCTGCGTCCCTCACCCCACGGAGCTGCCTTTTCTCCACATCAACAACACCTGCTATGGTTTTATCGGACTTCAAGACACTCCACATCAGATCTTCATCCAGCAAGCCCTCCTGCATGACTTCCTCCATGCTGAGAGGCTCGGCGCTGCTGGCGTCCAGGAATCCTCCGAACAGACCCGCCTTAGCCATCAGTTTCACGGCTATGTGACCTGGAAGGACTCCCTGGGCTACAGCTTCATCTGGAAGCAGCTTGTCTCCACCCTCCATCATCAGACCTCCTTGTTTGAGCTGAAGGACTAATCGGTCCAACTCTGCATCCTCCTGCGGTTTTTTCAGTACCGGCTCAGCTTCTTCCAGCCCCAGGTCCGGAAGCTCGGAGCCGATTCCTGTTAAAAGAGCCTTGGAAGGTTTTAAATTTCCAGATTCTTGAGTTACGTAAAGGTTTGTGTTTGCTTCCACTCCTGGAGCAGGTTCTGACAGAACCTCGGTTTCTTCTTCTGGCTTTGGTTCTAGAGGTTCCGCTATGGTGCCGCTGCCATCCCGATCAGGACCATTCCCAGGTAGGGATTGGGTTGGTACCACCTCTTCAGGGCTTTTTATTAGTTCTTCTACTCCGGACATCTGTTCTTTCACTTCTGTGTCTGCAGGGATTTTATTTTCCACTGCGGAGGTTAAATCTTTGCTTCCTACAATTCCCGACGGTTCCCGATGAAGTCCGTTTTCATTTCTCCAATCAGAAACGTCTTCGGTTCTGCTCCCTCCAATAATCCCAGCACCATCTCTTGGCATTAAAACTCTGGAGATTTCATCTTCGGATGTCGTTTCTTCATCTGACAAACTGACGTCTCCTTCAGTTATCGACATTCCCGACTCTTCCAAAGTCAGACTTTCCGCGGGCTCGGCCCGGCCAGATTCTTCTGGAGCTGGGCGGCTTTCCTTAACCATGGTTGTGAGCTCCTGGTCAAGCAGTACCAGCCGTGTCCCAGAATGAGCGTCCACGTAGCTGTGAGCCATGATGTGAAGAAGCAGCTTGTGTTTGGCTTGTTCTTCGGGACCGGTCCGATCCCACACGAGGCCCGCTGGAGGAGACGGAGGCGGTGAGGAGCTGGTGGAGCTCCAGCTCAGTCGGTTTAGAGATGGTGTTCCTGACTGGTTCATGTTGTACAGAACATCTGGGATGTGAATTTCTCTGAGATGTTGGACAACATCTGGTTCTAGCTGTCCATCAGCCTGGTTCAGGAGGAGGACCTGGAGTGTCTCCGGGTCATACAGACCCCCAACTGCATGTCTTTGCCTTAAGATGCTTGTTGCCAGAGCTCCTGAGATCAGCCCTTGTTGGAGAGCTTCGGCCATGGACATAAGCTCTCCAGACTCGGGCCAAAGAAGTCCCATAAAAGACCAAAGGGACTCCAGAACCAGCAGCGCCAGACGAGGAGAGAGAAGGTCCCTGCAGATGCTCTCCTCTAGACCCAGACGTTCTCCACTTAGAGGATCCAGTACTCCTCCATTTTGCAGCTGTCGTGCCAACATGGTGCAGGCTAAATCCTGGTCCATGAGTCCATGACGGGTCGCCTCGCCGATAGTCAGCCTGTGGCCGGACCGCGGGTCTGAAATTCCACCGGCGAACAGCTGAGCCTCCAGAAGCCGAACGATGACCTTCCGATCGATCAGTCCTTCCTGAACGGCACGGAAGATGCCGACTTTTCTTCCGGATCGAAGACGTACGGTTCCTCCAGGCTGCTGCTTGACAGGAAGGAGTAGAAGGTCCGAGTCATCATCGATGATGCAGCGCAGCTTCAGCTCCTCCATGTTCACCTTCTCAGCCGAGTTGGGATCGATCAGCTCTTTGAGCTGTAGTCGGGAATGAAGCTTGGATAGAATCCGGGGAGACAAAGCTCTCGTGTCCTCTGCTTGCTCCAAGCTTAGGATCCTTCCAGAAGAATCTCTCAGTCCTCCGGTGCTCAGCTGAAGGTGGAAAATTTGAAGTCCCACCTCTTCGCTGATGAACCCGGACTCGACTGCTGCGGCGGCGGGTAAAACGCCCCGATCCCTCAGCGACTCCGTGTTTTTGATCAGATCTAAAGCGCTCTGCAGCTCCAACAGCGACTGCTGGGTGCGAGCGTCGACGAGGTCCTGAGTCAGACCACAGTCCAGGGAGTAAAGGACAGCAGAGACGGGATGGACGAGTCCACCCAGGACAAGCTGAGCCTGCAGCAGAACCTGGCACGAGTCCTGGTCAATAAGACCTCGTCGGGCAGCTTGGAACACCGAGAAGGTCTCCACTGTTCCCAAGTCGATGACCCCGGCGATGGCAGCTCGGGTCTGCGGAAGGAAAGGAAAGAAACGTGGCGTTAGTGATAATTCTGGCAGGGACGAGCGTAAAGACCACTTCTACAGTACGTTCTTTACATACGTGTGTTTTACTACATAGAACAGATGAAAGGACCAGAAAAAGAAAACCCACAAACACGTAGGGCTACGTTCTACTGAACATCTAACATCTGATCTGAAACCAGCTACAACCATCATGCAAACGGGACCAGGAAGAGCTCTGAACACACGGAGACAAACAGGAGGACAGGAGAACGACAGAAGCATGCAACGGAAAGAGAAGAAGCGAGCGCTACTCACCGTACGGGTTTGTCCCATGACGAGCACACAAACGGGCCGGGAACGGCTCGGCAGAGCGAGGCACGACAGGTGAGAAGCCTGCTAGCTGTCTGCATGCCCCTCTCACGTCTAACTCTGATCTACTCTAAATCCCACTAAAAACCTTCCATTGCCCACCGACTCGCCAGCATCTCGCTGGGCCGCCGCCGCCGGAGACGCCGGATCAGAACCGGACGGTTTTCATTCTGAATCAAACCGGATCAGCAGGTGAACAACACGAAAGGTGAAAAGCAACGGGGATAAAACGCAACATCGGCTGGTTTAAAAGGCTTTCTCCTCCATCTTTGTCTGGAACCAACTTGTTCTGGACTTTGTCCTGATTTGGTGGACTGGCTCCATCCTGCAGGCGACTTGTAGAAGGTTCTGACTAGAAAAAAAATCGATTCAAGTCTGAATCGGGATTCTTATTTATAAAGATTCAGAATCGATTCCAAGAACTGAAACATTTGGCACGTTACAGGTCTGAGAGTCCGTACTCTGATTACTTTTGTGGTCCCATAAATTGAGACGATTTATGTTTGAATCTGCTGATAAGAGGGAGCTTGAATGTCATTTTTTCCATACTCAGAAATTTGAGATATTCTCATATTTATTTTCTAAGTTGATAAATGAGTACTCAGGATTACTCATGTAACTTGTTTCTACACATACTTGAAAAGTATTTGACCGTATTACTTTCAAAGCTACGGTTAGGTAACTACAGACTTGTTATATTTTACAAGGTAAGCAAAAATAAATGTCGCCTTTTGGTCAAAAGATTGTTTCTGTTTAGTTTTAGAATCACTTTAGTTTACCTTGTAAATCTGCATTTTTGGAGCACGACCAGTTTAAAGTCTAATAAAAATGTCCCGTAGCTTCTTTAACTAACGTGTACAACAAAGTAGTTCATCCTGGAGCCGACACTCTTGAATCAATTTAAATCGAATTGGCACCCCGAGAATCGGAATCGAATCAAATCGTGAGTTGCTCTAAGATTCACATCCCTGGTTTCGACCCAAAATAACGACCAGATCTTCCAGGTGCTGGATTACGAGTCATCGGGATGAAGCTGAGACGGTCACCAGAGTCCAAAATTAATCAGGTCCGGCAAAATCCAGAACCACATTTTCCTTAGATCCTAAATTTGACTCCAAATGAAGACGGACAAAAAAAATGACTGAATTTTTCAGGAAGTGATATATTTTTGTCTCTTGGACCAGGTTCCAGAGTTCTTGGAGCTACAGCTTGTAACATCAAATCTGCCAACGCGGCGTCTAACAACTATTGGTCCCAGACGTGGAGTAGGCGTGGCTCCTGCTGCGGGCGGGAAAAGTAAAGGTAGCTTGAGATGTTCTGATCTACAACTCTGCTCTTCTCCAGGTGAACAAACCCATTCCTCAGTTCTCCTGACTGCGGAGGTTCTGGGTCCCCGTGAGACCGACAAGGAGCCAAGACCCCCCACCCCCCCACCCCCCCCACCACCCGTTGTCGCAGCCCAGAGAGACGCAGGGTCAAAGAGCACCAAGATGGCATCAAAAGCTAACCAGCAGCACGCTAACCTGGCCTGATGTAATCCCTCTCTCTCTCTCTCTCTCTCTCTCTCTCTCTCGCTCTCTCACCCTCAGACGTCCACATTCGTCCGCCGGTGGCTGTTAGTGAGTTTCAAGCACATCGCTGGTTTAAAGTTTCACACATTAATAGTTTGCATTAGAACAAACAAACACAGTTTACCACACACACACACACACACACACACACACACAGTCATGTGATCTGGACACAACATGCTCAAATGGTGAAGTGAGTGTTGTCGTGTTGTTTTTGGCCTAATGGTGCACCCACACGATACAAACCCACACCTGTATTTGATAAAAACGCCTCACCTGTTCAGTTTCTAACTAATAAACAAAACCAATCTGGAACAAGTAAACAATGAAATGTTGACTTTATGAAACAAGTAAATAAACACACTAGATGAGATGTTTCTACAGCTGCACCACGAGGCCGAGTGTTTAAGCTGTTAGTGGCTGTTCTGATGATGATGATGATGATGATGATGAAGGTAACATGCAGAGGCCCGGTTCAGACCCGCATCCAGTAAAAACGTTTGTTGTTCTTTATTCTAACAGAACTCTACTGGATCTGAACGGGTCTGTGATTTTGTTAAAGCAGGTCAAGAGTGAGTTTTAAAAATGCTCTGTGAACACACAACATGCTAAACACACACACACACACACACGTGTGCATACACACACACACTCTCTCTCTCTCTCTTGCGCACACACACACACACACACACACTCACTCTCGCACACGCGCGCATACACAAACTCACACACGCACGCACACACACACAAACTCACACACACACACACACGCACACACACACACACACACACACACACTAGATTAGCTAGCGAGCGTGTTCAGACTCCTGGGTCTGATGACCCCCCCACCCGTGTCTGGGCCCGTTTACCTTTCTCTCCTCCTCTTTGGCCAGCTGTTGCCCCAGCTGCTGCAGCTGCTGGGTGGAGCTGTCACACAGGTGCTTGTAGGCCGACATCAGCTCCTCCAGCTGAGCCTCCACCTGAGCGCGCTCCTCGGGAGACAGCCTGCACATAGAGGGTGATGTCATCAGACTCTGCTCAGCTGCAGGCCGCGCAGACGCTGGAGTCACACCTGTTGTGATCGTCATGGCAAACGTCCTGAAGCTCTCGTCTCTGACCTTTCGCTGAGTCTTCGAGCGTTTTTAGAGACTAGTGTAAAATGCAGCTAGCTGAAGAGCCACTGGATTAGAGCTGTCCCTTCAGGCCGTTTCTCAGACTTAATCCTGCTCGTTAATCTGAGTGTCGGACCAACACCAAAGGAAACTAAATCAGACTGCTGACCCAACGAGGCGACTCTCCAGCCTGGCTGAGGGTCACGTTTCTGGTCTTGGGTGGACTAGATCCAGATTTTAGAGTCATTAAGAGACACGTTAAAGAATGTTTTTCTATTCTTCGTTCTCTCTTAGTTCGGTTTCTTAGTTTTCCTGAGAAGATGCAGGAAAATAAACCATCAAAGCGTGACATCAGCCAGTAAATCTGCTTAGAAACGCTTAAAAAGATCACAGGAAGCTCTTGCTGCTGCTGGGAGGAAGTTCTGGATAAAACATTTCCCTCTTAGTTCTGCCGGTTCTGAGTCCAGACTCACTTGCTGGCCTGCTTGGACCTGAGGAAGACCTGTGTGCTCCTGATGGCTTCGGCCACCTGGTCCTTCTTGGCTGCCAGCTGCTCACTGATGACCTGCAGAAGGACACACCTGTGATCAGACACCTTCCTCCACGTCCAACATCTAAGCCAGAAGCACCTGGAAGCTACCTGCTGAGCAGCTAGAGAGGACTCGACGCTGGGGCCTCCGGCCCGTCCCTGGAGACCTTTGACCCAGCCCAGCAGCTCTGAGACCTGACCCACTCTGGCCTGCTTCTCCTCCTGCACCTCCTTCTGCTCAGACCCAAAACACAACCTGTTACATCAGGAGTCCGTCGCGTTTTCCCTCTCCTAGTCCGAGTCAATCTTCACCTCCTCCTCCTCCAGCCGCCTCAGAGCGTCGCTGATGTACCTCACGTGTTGGGTTGTCAGGGTAACCAACGTTGTGTAACGCGTACGTAATTCCATAAACTGCAACGACATTCCCAAAAACACAAAACTCAGCAAATCTTCCAGATGGGTGACTGACGCGTCCGCGCGGCGCCTCCTCACCTCCTGGGTCACGGCGTCAGACGAAGAGTGCATCCTCCTCCTCTTCACAGGCGACTTGTGCGCCGACTCGACGAAGGCTCGGTACGTCATCAGCTGCAGTTCGTACTCCTAACGGACAAAAACATGGAGAGACTTTAAAAAGCGGAACCAGAGAGTCGGGGCGGGGCGCTCTTCAGACGGAAGTTCTGGTACCTTGACTGAGGAGCTGTACTGTTTGGCGTGAGTCTGGCACTCGTCTAGTTTGGTCTGGTTCTGCTCGATCTCAGCTACTAATGCCTGAAGAGGACATGGAGAGGATGATGAACAACGGGAAGGTCACCGACGTCTCCGCGGGTCTAACTGCTCGGTTCTGACCGTCTGCTGGGCCAGCTGTTCTGACAGAACTCGGCTGTCCGTCTGCTCTGGGTGGGTGTTCTCTTGTCGCTCTGTCGTGTCTTCGATCCACTCGATGAGAGCCGAGTGACCGTCTCTGTACTGCTGCAGAATCAGGCCCAGAACCTCCAGATCGGTCCGTCTGAAGAGAAACAGGAAACAAACGTCAGAACGTTCAGTAAAGGTTCTGATCCGACCCGTGGACCTCCGGGTTTAAAACCGTCGGCCTCCTGCTTTTTTGGGGCAGAGTTTCTGCTCTTCGCTGGCGACTCGGCGAATAAAATAACAAGTCCAGTAAAGTTGTGGCGGGTCAGACGGCTCGTGTCCTCCTCACCGTGTCTCCAGCTGCTTCGTGACTCCGCTCCACCTCTCTGCCAGCTGATTGGCTCTCTCCTGGTAGCGTTCTAGCTCAGGGCTGCGGTCTGGGTGGAGCCGGCTGAGCTGAAACCCCGCCTCTTTGGCCCGGCCCGTTTGCACCTGCAGGGCCTGAAAGACGCCTTCGTGCTCGGAGACCTCCTCCTGCCACCTCTGGGGCAAACGGTCGCAGACGGCATGAGCATTAAAGGTTGGGCTCTTGTTTTGAAGGACTTCATTTAAAGAACACTTCCTGTCTCACCCCGAGCTGATGTCTGAGGTTCTGGATGGCCGTGGTGTCTGCAGGAACGATGTCTTCCTCACTGAGTCTGCTCTCGTACCTCCTGACCTGAGACTCCGCCTCCTCCAGGCTCCTCAGCAGAACGTCGACGGTTTTTAACCTGAAGAGTAAAAAAACGTTTAGACGTTTCCACGGATTTCTGAAGTTAAGAGGAAGGATGGAGAAAAGTCTCACTAACTTTTCCAGGTAGGCCGACGAGAGGTTGTGCAGCTTGTCCATCTTCTCCACAGCCTGGCTGAGCTGGGACTGGAGGCCGGGAACGCTGGAGGAGGTCGGCTTCTCCTGGAAGAAGCTGAGGCAGCGGCGGGACACATCTCCCAAACCGGAGCGTAGAGCGTCCAGCTCAGACTGCTGCTTCTGGAAAAGACATCAGGAGCTTTAGTCCATCAGTAAAACCGGAGTTATTTAACTTCACTGGGATGCAGCTGGGAACAGATTTAAGATTTTTTATTCAACCGGAGCTGAAAACGTTCAGGAACTCGTTTCTGAAACAAAACTCATTTTAGCCTTCTGTGGCCAGCAGGTGGCGCTCTGACTGACCTCCTGCTCCGCGATCTGCAGCGTGAGGTCAACGCCGCCTGATGCCTGGCTGGGGGGCGGAGTCTCGATCCTCCTCGTCAGCCTCTGCTCGGCCTCGTTCAGACGAAGAGCGACGTCCTGTAGCTCTGAGAGGTACGACCGTGACACGGACTCGTCTTTCTCCGCTGGAGACAGTACAGGAGGAGAGGAGGGACATTTCAGGTTAATTTGGCGTGCCAAGCAGCCATTTTGACCGTTTGGATTTGGCGTTTTGGATCACCGGTCTCCATGTTCCGCAGCAGGTCCTGGCAGTGCTGCAGCGCCTCCTCCACCTCCCCCTCCAGCTCGCGTCGCTCCGCCGGCGTGAACAGAGAGCTCTCCTTGCTGTCCGACAGGAAGTCCGTCAGCTGGGCGTCCAGGTGGTCCACGACGTACTGGCGGTCTGAGGGACTCTGACTGCGGACCTGAGACATCCACACGGGGGACAGAGTTAAGAGGACAGAGGAGGACGGGAGGTTGCCGAGATCCGGTTATGACGGCTGATGCCTGACCGTGTCCAGCGTCCATCCCGAGATGGTCCGGATGTCTTTGAGGAGGTAGTTCCACGAAACCACGCTCTTCATGTCCACGTGGAGCTGATGCCACAGCGACATCACCTTCTGGTACGACTGCTCCACCCTGGTTAGAAAACAAACCCGACGAGTCACGAACCAGAACGGACTTTCGTCGGTCTTTAAAGGCGATGATCTGGTTTGATTAGTACGGCCTGTTCTTGATTCATGTTTAACTCGAGTTCAAGGACAAACAAACGAACCCCGACAAATAGATGCATAAGGTAGGTGTGGTGGGCGTGTCACCTGGCGGCAGTGTCGATGGCCTCCTGGTTGGGAGGGGGGACAGTGAAGCACACCGAGGGCACCATGGCCTCGTTCCCCGTGGGACTGATCACCTTCCACTTGGTCCTCTGGGAGTTGTCCTGCAGGACGCACTCCTCTCCTCGGTTTACCGTGATCTGAGACAGAAGGGAGGTAGGGGAAGAGGAGGACGAAGGGGACACGGAGGCGATGGAGGGACAAGATGGGAACAATTAACAGAAGAGCCCGGAAACAGTCGGAGGATTGAAGAAGTTTTAGGGAATGAGACGAGAAGGAAAACAGACGCAGAAAAGCAAAAGAAAAGAGAAATGAGCTCATCGTTGATCAGAGGATGAAATCAGTCATGAAGCTGAAACACGATCTTAGAGAAGCGGAGGTGGAAACGAAGCCACGACATCCCAGAGCCGATTTCCCTCGGATCGTTTTTAAAACCTGAAGATTGTTTCAGAAACTCGGTTCTGCCTTTCTCACCCCGTCCCTGAGCACAGACACACGCCCGGAACGCGTTTTCCCGAACCTCGGAGTCCGCTTGCGACGGAACTCTGCTTTTATTTACTAAACACATAATAAACAAGCTGATAACGTGTCTGATAAAAACTTTATTCACTTTATTATTTTCATGCACAAGTAAAAAAAACTGAAACTACATTTAACACTGAATATTTATACTTCAAATCACAAAATAAAAAAGATAAATAGTATTTTTATATATTTTAATATTAAAATAAAATGTTAGAAAATGTATTTGAACAAGAAATCTTTATTTTCTAAACATTTTTAATAAAGCAGAATAAACAAAAAAAAGTGGAATTACAGGAAAGTGTTTTAAAATAATAATAATAATAGTAATAATAATAGTAATAATAATAATAATAGTAATAATAATAGTAATAATAGTAATAATAATAGTAATAATAATAATAATAATAATAATAATAGTAATAGTAATAATAATAGTAATAATAATAGTAATAATAATAATAGTAATAGTAATAATAATAGTAATAATAATAATAGTAATAGTAATAATAATAGTAATAATAATAATAGTAATAGTAATAATAATAGTAATAGTAATAATAATAATAATAATAGTAATAATAATAATAATGTAATAATAATAGTAATAATAGTAATAATAATAATAGTAATAATAATATTAATAATAATAATAATAATAGTAATAGTAATAATAATAGTAATAATAATAGTAATAATAATAATAATAATAATAGTAATAATAATAGTAGTAATAGTAATAATAATAGTAATAATAATAATAGTAATAATAATAATAGTAATAATAATAATAATAGTAATAATAATAATAATAGTAATAATAATAGTAATAATAGTAATAATAGTAATAATAATAGTAATAATAGTAATAATAATAGTAATAATAATAATAATAATAATAATAGTAATAATAATAATAATAATAGTAATAATAATAGTAATAATAATTATAATAATAATAATAATAATAATAGTAATAATAATAGTAATAATAATAATAGTAATAATAATAGTATTAATAGTAATAATAATAGTAATAATAATAATAATAATAGTAATAATAATAATAATAATAGTAATAATAATAGTAGTAATAGTAATAATAATAGTAATAATAATAATAATAATAATAATAGTAATAATAATAAATAGAAAAAAGTGTCTCTGTACCAGAAAATACTAATTTAAATAGAAGTTTAGAAAACGAATAAAAGCATCCTGACAACAATAATATTATATAATTATTAATTTCTCATTAATAGTAAAATAAGACGTTTTATACTTTTGTTTTCTGGTTTCAGTTTTAAATAAAATATTTTTATTTGTTTCAAAATAAAAGTTTGTTCTTGTCACAGAATGAATGAAATAAATGAATGATTACATCGTGTGTTGAAACCATGGGTCTCTGGGTGATTTAGTCCCATTTTATCACATTAAAACTTTTATTATTTCACTAAGAGCTCCGATCTTCCGCTTTAATTCCAGCAAAAACAAAAAAATACCACAATCGGTTCCTGAAATCGCAGCAACGAAGAACAGGAAGGTTTAATAACCCGGCTTTCTCCTCCCAGCACAAAAGTTCCCGTCATTCACAGCAGGAAAACTGGTCCCATAAAAGTACGTTTTCCGAGCAGGAAGCGGATTAAAGGAGACGACGGGTTTATTAGAGCCTGAAATCAGCGGATCAGGAAGCAGGACGGAGCAGCGTGAGGATCTGAGGTTAGAGAGGGAGAAGAGAGGCAGCTATACCTGAACGCTTGTCTTGCCAGCCCAGCCGACAGACGACAGGAAGGAGGGAGTGAGACGGGGATGGAGAGGAAGGAGAAAACAAAGGAAAGTCAAGGAGAGAGAGATTACTGCACAGAAACGTTCCGCAAACACGGACACCATCCGGAGCAGCTGCATGCCCGGGTGGGAAGCTGCTCGGGAATGACGGGATGTTAATCCGCCCCGACATTCCAGAGGACGGATTTCATCCCAACAAGATTCAGGAATCTGGAGTTTTTAAAAAAGTAAATTCTGAGTTTTCTGAGGAAAACCAGGATTTCATGCTGGATTAGAAACATTCCTTCTCTACACTGGATTCAGGTCAAAGGTCACAGAGCACATTTTCCAAACTCCGGTCGTACCTCGATTTGTTTGTAGTCACAGACGGCTCTGATGGGCGTGGCCACGTCCAGCGGGCTGTCGGCGCTGCGGGGGCGGAGCTGCACCACCGTTTTGGACCGCCCCACCAGGCTCGCCACCGTACTCCGATACTTGATCAGCTGTTCCTTCTCCTCCTGCAGCGAGAGGCGGAGCGACGGGCTTTTAGGAGGTGCAGAGATTAAATAATCTAACTCAGACCAGCAGGTGGCGCTGCAGCCCCAGGAGAGCAGAGGGTTTAACCCCAACCCTTTTTCTTATTTATTTATTTATTTATTTATTTATAAGGGCTAAAATTATTTTACTTTAACTTAAACGAAGAAAAGAATAAAACTTTCAGCAGATTACCATCAGATTAGGACAATCCAGCATAAAACCACTTTATGAGCTTGGAAATTCTCATTAGAAACCTGCTTAATGGTAATAAAACCCATTAATATGTCATTAAAATGTTTTATATTTGGTTGAATTTGACAGCAAAGCTTCTCTTGAGTGTGTAAATCAGCCTGGATGGGTAACAATAAAATCCTGTTTCAGAATAAAACACCAAATCTGTTCTTAATCACATTATTTATGTAAATCATGATTTTAAGTGTAGTCTGCAGTTTTGTTAGCCTGGCAAGCCAGACTAAATAAATATATAATTTAGTCTGGCCACGCTCCATTGATGGCTCTCGGTTGTGGGGCGGGTTCTACCGTTGTCTTTCAAATGATCTCCGCATTCCACTGGACAATGAATGTGACATACTCTTGTTTCACTCTGTTGCATCATCCCACCCACCAGGCACGTATGGGCTATTCCCATCTGTACCGATCGGCCCGGGCCGGGTAGCCCCAGTCTGGCCCGGTTGATTCCACACATCCTTGCCTTAAGCCCATGTGGGCTTGCTCTAATGGAAGGTGTGAATTTGCTGTCAGCAGTGGGTGTGTTGGCCCTGGTCGGCCTGAAGCAGACCTCCTCGAGAAGAGGGCTGAGAATGAGCCGGAAAAATACCAGACCACCCAGATATGTAAACAACCTACGCTACCCGGCCCGGGCCGACCCGGTTCAGATGGGAATAGCCCAATAGAGTGCCCTGATTGGCCCAGAAAGCGGATAAAGCTCTGTGATTTGTTCACTAAGCAGATAGAGCACTATGATTGGCCCACCATTATGGACCAATCACAGCTCTTTATGTGTTTGAAACCCCTCTAGAGAGCTTTGATTGGCTAGCCAGAGTCCTGGTAGGAGCTGCGGAGGTTCCAATGGAGCATGCCTAGACCATTCTTTGCAAAGCAAGAATTTGGTCTAGTTCACTAGGCTACAGTTTTGTATGAAAGTTACGGGAATAAAAATGAGCAATAATAATCTACCGTTGAACGACGAGTGAAACAAGGATAAACCCAGATTCCCGTCAGGAGTTTGGTGTTCCAGCCTGGAGCGGCTGACGCTCCCAGACCTCCTGAACCCTCTACCTCTGAGCTCTTCATCCTGACAGCTACTCTTCCTCTCCCCCACAAAACAAGCACCATTACAGGGTATTTGCAGGTTTAAGGGAGCCACATTTAAGACTTTTTAAGACCTTTTTAAGGCCACTTTGACCAAATTTAAGCTATTTTTAAATTAAATTTACGCTATAATTTCCAGCTATTGGCTGGAACTGGTGCTAACCACGTCGCGAACGTGGGATTAGCCATCCAGTTACCATTAAACTTGCACTTCCCCATGGTGCAAGCGCCCACTAGCTTAACCAGCTAATGTGCTCATCTAAAAATAGTCCCCTTTCACAACCAGCTGAATGTGTACGGTTCCGCTTACGGCAACGTCGTACTCAAAAAACGTTGAACAGTAACTGGAAATTCACA